GAGTGCAGAGCTGAGCACACAGCACCAACTCATCAAAGGCACTAAAACAGAAATATTTCGCTGATGCAAAAGACCTTTCAAAAAGAGAGAGAATGAAAACAGAAGCATGAGCTTCATCAGAGAAGTGACTATTCCACCAAAGCAAAGCAGCAGTTGAATAAAGAATAAAAGCAAGAAGAGATTAAAGGAGATACTTGAGTCCCGAAGAAAGGAGAGCATTGCATAGCAAATGATTTGCAGGGGATGGAAAAAAAGGGTGAGGGATCAATTCTCAAGTAACATCTTGATGAAGTTGCTGGAGAAGTAAAATTGCTGTAGCAATAGGATAATGTGGATAGAGAAAGCCAGCACGAGGTGGTAAAGAAACAGCTAGATGCTATATACAAAATCAGAGAGCATCTAAGTGGCCTATTTGTTTTTTTCAGTGGAAGGTGAATAACACAACGAATTACCCATCACAAAGCATGGAAATTGCAGCAGAGATGATTGGGACACTGCTTCTGGAAATAGCTGAACAAAGAAGAGACCCCTCTGATCACGGCATTCCAGGAGAGGAGTAAATTGGGAGAACTGCACGCAGAGCTTAGGCCAACATGTGCTGTAAATGTTTGAGCAGTAATCCATTGCTTAACAAATGGGAAAGCAGCAGGCAGCAATTGCTGCTCAGCAGAACTGTTCAGAGCAGGAAAGTATCCCTGCCCAATGGCTGCATACAAAATCAGGCTCTGAGAGCACTGCTGCTGAGCCCCAAACAGAGCAGAGTAAAATCACCGGAGCATGAAATTCTGGAATTACTCTCCACGCACCTTGGAGACTGGCCCCAGCAACTGGGTGTGCTTCCTCAGATACATATTTTACTGCCCTTTAAGCAGTAAACATCCACTGGGCCCAGCAAGCAGCATTGTGCAAGCAGTCTGTTTTGTTGGATTCTGTTTTGTTGCTGCTCAAACTCACAGTCAATCTTCAGTGATTTACTGAGGAGGATTGGGCACACCAGAAATCATTTTATTTCATCATCTCTGCCCAAGGAATTCAATAGTTTACACTACCCGCCATTGTGAAAGATGCTGTTCGAGTGTGAATGTCCCCTCCGGGTAATCATAAAAGGATGCCTGACTTGTATCTGAGCAGAAAAAATAGCAAAGCCCCTGTTTGCACCAGCAGGAGAGGGGAAAAGGATTATTCCGATGTCTTTGCTGATAGCTGTCTCGGACATTTCCCATCTCTGCTGTTCCTCAGTACCATTGAGGCTATAGACATTATTACAACACATGGATGCTTTGATGTTTCTGAAAATTAGCTGTGCTTTATGGTATATTTGATTAGTGTAACATGCAACTGGCAAATATTAATCTGGAAGCACAGGAAGGCAGCAAGCTCTGGGAGACAGAAAGTAATGGAAGGGTTAAGCTGCCTTTATTTTTGCCAGCAAGTATACATTCTCTGTTCCCCATCCACCCCCGTAAAGTACAAAATGTAGCAGATGTTTGTGAACAGCTAGCCTGATCTATCAGCCTTTACATAAATGAAGGCTGAGTTACTGAAGGAGAAGGCAGAATAATGTTTACAAGAGAAGAGCAAGAAGATTTCCGACACCTGGGCAACTTAATGATGGCAGATGGCAAAAGCTGAAGGCAAGGAGAAGCAGCAACGTGCACCAGCAGCTGTCGAACAAACGGGGAGGAGGAAGGCCTCCTCCGAAACTACGTGGGAAGGATTTAATACCTGCAGTTGGGTGAGGGTGAGAGCGTCAATATGCAGAGAGAGGAGCCCTTGCTTTAACTCCTCAGATAACTACCATCAGAAGTACCCAATGGATTGTCAACTGAGGAGATTTTCACAGCAAGAAGCCATCTATTTGCATCAAATAGTGTCAGCCTGCAAGGCAGAGACTTCTGGGTCATTTAACAGTGCTCCAGATGTAGTCATTTTCTCTGAGGCAAGAGGCTCAAAAAGAGCAATGTGAGAAAGAGCCAGTCGGCATGGCAAGGGGACAATCAAGCAGCATGTGGAAGTGATTAACCACTCTGTGAAAGGTAACTCAGTTAATAGACAGAGCTGCAGGACACCTGGCTGTCTGTGGTGCTCAGCACAACAGAGACTGCAGGACTGGGGCCAAACACAGGGCTGCAATTCGCCATCAGGAAACAAACCATTTCTGGCTTTGCACTAGTGCTCTACATTATGACCAGTCACCCGGCAGCCTGGCTGTGTGTGCCCTCTAAAGCTGCAGCAGACACAGGTGTTGACAATTGTACCATAGGAAAGAGAATGGAGAGCAGCTAGAGCTGTAAATGAAGGCACTGACATCAACTGACTTTCTTAGTAATTCTTTCATCAAAAAGCCATGGGTGGGATTAAAATGTGTAGCCAAGATCAACATGGGGATTTTATCTTTCCCCATGCTGGACTCACCCTTTCTTCGGAATATCTGCCATCAGCAAAGCTCAGTTCTGACTTCAGGCTCCACGAAGCCCAAGAATATCTGGATGTGCATGACAGAACTTGGCCTCTTTTAAAGGATTATTCTGGCTAAAACTATCTTTACTCTCCAAAACTCCCTGAAAGGAGGTTATAGCAAGTTGGAGGTTAACCTCTTTTCCCAGGTAACTAGTGATAGGATGAGGGGTAATGGCCTTAAGTTGCGCTAGAGAAAGTTCAGCTGGATATTAGGAAAAATTTACTCTCTGAAAGAGTGGTGAGGTTTTGGCATAGGCTGCCCAGGGAGCGGTGGAGTCACCATCCCTGGAGGTGATTAAGAAACATGGAGACGTAGCGCTGAGGTACATGGTCAGTGGGCGGTACTGGTGATAGATGAACCATTGGACTAGATGATCTTAGAGGTCTTTTCCAATCTTAATGATTCTATGATTCATTTATGCTATAATTATACATTTTTAATGCACAGTGTTACCTGCTGTGCATGTCGCATCTGCAGCCTGCCAGTCTAAAGCTGTGCTGACCCAGCATGGAAGAGCCATCATCACTGCTCCAATGTCTTCAGCACGTGGCTCACACCAAGTGCCTATGGATTAACGAGTCTCCCTGCTGCTGTTTCAAATGCAGACATGTTTTGAAAAGCACGCAGCGAGTAGAAAGAGTGCTGTCTGATAGGTATGCAATTTCAAAACAAATTTGTAATGTTCCTAGAGAATTTATCACCACAGGAGAAGAAAAGATTATTGTATGTGTAACCTGCAGCTCTAATTATATTGTGTACTTCCCTTGCGCAATTAGAAATGTGTAACAGAGAGTTACACTTCCTAGTTACGTTTCTATCAAATTCTTGATATAATTGGGATGACTCATAATGAAATTATGCATTATTTGTTCCATTTGTTATATTGTTTGACTTAAAATCAGCATGCAAAATCCAAATCTCCTGAATTCTTCCTCTCCACCCCTCGTTGATTGTTTCCTACTCACATATTGGTCGAGTAGACAAAAGCATTTTTAAATTGTTGCAATTCCTTTGCAAGCTTTCCCAGAGAGGGTTTGCTGCAGACCATGGCCGTTGATATGCAGCTCCCTCTGACAGTTGCACCTGTTGTCAGAGTGACTTTAAATTATCACAAAGGGTCTCCTTTGGAATCACTGTAGCAGGGAAGTCCAGGGATTCTTTATTGACCATGTGAGGGGAGCTGAGAGCCATCCATTCTTTATGAGCCACCTTGCATTACACAGGTTAGAAACAGTGCAAATAGATGGCAATGATCCTGTGCTACAGCCTGCCAGTAAATGAAATTGTCTCCACTTTAGCACTGAAAGCTCTCAAAGGGTCACCAACAAAGTCAGAACCCCCAGGTCTGTGCAATCCCAGCAGGAATGTCTGATGCCTCTTGAACTGCTGCGCCATCCCACTCACAGACCAATGGCACAGTGAGCCCCACAGTGAGACAGGTGTGCATTGCTCAGGACAAGGAGAACTTTTCTTTCCTTCCCTTTTTCTTCTCCCTTAAGGGCAAGTTTAGCACTTAGGAAGATGCTGAATAGGCGGTAGAGGAAGATTTCTTTAAATGATCACAAAGCAGGAATTGTCACCGTGCACAGTACGTTTGTTTTAATCTTAGGGACATGAACTGAATGGTACCAAAAATTCAGGCAGGTGCTGCTGGGAAGCAGAGTGCCAAATGCCTCAGGCTGCCTCCAGCCTCTGGCCACTGCTGCTGGAGGTGCAGCTGCACCGGTGGCTTTTCCTTTTGTCCACTAGGGACCACACTGGGACCAGCAACTCCGGACTGACGGCAGATGTTATCCAACGAGTTTTGATTTGTCCTCACCAGGCTGGTTATGAAGTAGCAGCCAAGGAGCAAAGAGTTCAGCAGGGCAGTAATATTTCTGACCTGGGATCTAGGGATGCACGCAGATGTACTGAAGACAGCAGTGTGGTAGCATCCTGTTACAACCCCTCTTCCACACACCACAAATAACACATTGTTTGTGTTTCTTCCGTTCATCACTATCCTGCATCATGTCAACTTGCAAATTTAGGTTGCAAGACCCTCTCTGCAAACGGGATTTTACCTTTTGGGAAGCGCAGCCTGCTTTTGTCCCATGTAATTCCAGCCATTGGCACAGTCCCTCCAACCTCTTTCTCCCCTCCTGCCTCACCTGCCCCACGGAGCTCCAAGAGCTCTCAGCTCCCCACCTCCCAGCTCAGCCCCACTAAGGTGCTGCTGCCCTCATTTTGCTGCTCGCATCGGTTTCAGGAGCTCCAGTCCTTTCCTTCCCTTCCCCGGAGCGGCTTTCCTCTTAGTTTCCAAACAATGTGTGAAGCCCAGTTCTGCAGGCACAGGAGCCTCAGTGAGTTTAAGGATGACTGAAGCTATTTCCTCTCCCGGGGAGGTTTAAAAGCCGCGGGGGGATGCGTGGGGTGAGAGCGATCGCTGCGTTTCCAGCAGCCGCCCTCTCCCAGCACTGAATCGCGGCAGGAGCAGCGTGCCCAGCCTGGGTGAACAAACCCTCCCGAAAGCAATGCCTTAAAGAGCTGCAAGCAGCCTTAAGTGCGCCGGAGATAACTAATTTCAAGCATGGCTGTCTAGTGTGCCTGTCATTCCCATTGTCCTTCCAAACTATCTCAGACATTTTGAGCGGGGAGCACCCAGCTATGAGTTAGTAGGGGTTGTGACACCGATGGTCCAAAGGGGTTGGAGCACCGGGAGGGGACGATGACAGCGCTTAACAACTGGTGGCACTTTGGAGGATACGGCTGGAGCTCTGTTTATTAACAATTAGGCTTCGCCTCGGAGGAAGATGTGACAGCTGTCGGAGGTAGGATTTGCATGCGAGACAAAGGGAGCTGTTGCTGCTGGGTGCTCCGGGTTGTGCAGCCAGGTGGGGGCCGGGAGGGCCGGGCTGCGGGGAGCGCTGCCGCCAGCGCTGGGGTTTCTGGCAGAAATGTCTCGGGGACAAAGCGGCTCCGGAGTCGTTCCCGCTGCGTGTGCGCTCCCGTGAGCGGAATGCATAGAGGTCATGCGGGAAACACTTCGCCCCTCACCTACCGAGCTGCTTCTGGGGTGGAGAGGGGAGGGTGCCCTAAAATGAAAGGGGAAGGGGAAAGCGACAGACCTGTCAGCTGGAGGAGACTGCTGTTAACATGGAAAATGTGTCTGGTGTGCTACTGCTGTCATTTGGAAAGGGGAAAATGAAAAGGGGCTGGATTTTCCGGTGGAGGAACTCCTTGGGCTATAACTTACTGCAAAAAAAGAAACCACAAAATATAGCGTGTCCAACCATTTTGCGTAATCAAAGCTTCCTCTGCACTGTTGACATTGTTTTGCTGGATGAGAACTGTAGTTTCAGACAGAAGGAGGGAGGGCTCCCTGCTGTGCTTCTGCCAATCCCTGCCACCCCCCTTCCACAAACAGCAGTGTGGGGAGAGAGGTGTTCAGTGCTCTGCTGGGTACCCAAAGGGCTGCAGCCAGGGCTGGGACTGGAGAAATGCTCAGCAGTGTTACAGGAACAGCCTCTGGACAAGGTTGGTTTCATCTCAACCAAAGTCCTGGAGGAGATATGCAAAGTTGGGAGCCTCGTGGACTTTTTAGCAATGTGCCCGTTTGGCTTTGCTAGACCAAAAAATGTCCAAACCCCAGAGTCAGGTCTGTACAGCAGAACAGGTCTGTGTGTGGCCCTCCTCAGTGCTGGGCTGCAAGTTTATGTATTTGCATTTGTGTGCATCACCAGGATAAGTAGCAGGAACTTAATGAACAAAAACCTTATATAGGTGCACATGCAGCATCAGTATTATTTGGGGTGTGTGATGTGAGTGTGACTTTCCCTGGGCTGATGAATTGTTTCTGCTTGCGCATTAAAGTTTCAAATTCCCAAACAACAGAGAGACTTCAGAGTGAGAGGTATTTAGCAACAATAAAATGCTCTGCTTGCAGAAATGCTTCTCACAGGAGCTATTAAAAATGCACTCAAAGGAGCTGCGAGTCATGTCTTGCAGCAAGGGATACAGTACTGCTCACTCTGCTAAGTATAAAAATGAAGGCTGTGATATCATTTTAAACCTACTTCAGTGCGGGTGTCTACAGGCATACTTTACAATGCTGTTGTTAAATGCTCATAACTTAGAGAATTCTGGTAGATTGAGTGTTTTCATTACAGCTTCATTAAAAAAAAAAGATTTCCAGTGTAGTAGGGACTCACAGAGGAATCTGAATTTACTCATCCTAACAAAAGTTCCGTTTAAGGAGAATTTCAATGATTATAGCAAGCAAACTTCACGTGGGTCATGGTGTCAGTCATTTGAAAACGATATACTGATGACAATTTAACAACAAAAGTGCCACATGCCTACAGTCACAGCAAATACAGCTTGTGCCAAAGGGAAGCAATATTGGCTTGGAAACAGCGAGAATTCCCCCTAAGAAACACAACTTACAAATACTCAGCATCTGAGCAATAACTTTTCAGTCAAGCACATTGCTTTGCATTGCAGACTGGGGAAAAAATCATTTCAACCCATGCTATCTACACTACTATGTAGGACAAAATGATAATAGGGGAGAATTTCTCTCAAGAAAATGTTCCCAGGAGTTTGCAATATGGCTTAAAGAGATGTTATGCAGAGATATTAAACCTGTGTCAGAAATGAGCAAGCAGAAATCAAGCACCCATCTTTTCTTCTCCATCTGCCTTTTATCCAGAGGCTTTGGCAATTTTACTTTTTTTTACTTTCCATCCTGCAGGGCCTTGGGCAATCCCCAGCCTCACTGCACCATGGGCAGTTGTTCTAGACTGTGGGACAGTGTACCAGTGAACATGTAGCTGGTGGTGCTTAGGGAACAAGGCTGCACGTAGAGTTCAAGAAAAGGGAAAATGTGCAAAGCAAACTTTTGTTGCAGGAGTAGGTTCATATTTCAGGTGTTTTCGGCTGTAAATAAGACATATTGCAAATCCCATGACTGAAAACTAAATCTGCTTTCAGAACTATTCCAGACGAATTTGCCACTTACAAAAATGCCTGCCAGTAGCAAATATCCATTTGCCTGAGAGCCTGTCAGAAGCGACTCCAAATCTCTTCGTGCTCCCTATGCTCCACCAATGCGCAGCAGATAATGAAGTAACCCGCATCAGATTGATTCACTGTGCTGAGAAACAATTTCGCTGCTTTCTTCAAAAGCTGAATGAGAACTTTATGCTTTGAATCTCACTTGTCCTTCTGCTTTATGAATCGCCTGTGGGGCTCATGCAATTTTCTAATTTATTTATTTGATATTATTTGGGAATTTCATCAGTGAGTAACACTTGGCTGGCAGATCTTTTGGGAACGGCAAATGCTTGCAAATTCATACTGTGTTGCCCATTTTAGTCAGGTGGTGTTCCTCGGGTGGATGATTTGTGTAACTAACCAAGTGAATAGCAGATTTTACAAGCAAGCGAACAATTTCATCTTGGATTCCCATCACTATCTGAGCAGTCAGGTTTCAAGTTCCTGTCTTGCGAGGAGTCATAGGAGCAACACATAAGTGCTGAAGGGCTCCCACCAGGCAGATATGAGAGCCGGGTTAACAGCTTCCAGATTCATATGAATATTCATGGCAAATGTTTGAATTCTCGCAGCTTTGCTAAAAGGAACAGTCAGCATCATCCAGTGCGCACGGCATGGGCCACTCTCTCGCAGCGCTTGCGGAGCGTGAACATTATGAGACAGAGTCTGGCACAGCATGGACAAGTGAACGTGCCCTGACGATGCGTAGCGATGAAGCTGCTGGGCGGAGGTCGCTGCCCCCAGGTTCGCGATCGCAGCGAGCGCGGGCGAGGGCGGGACCCGGAGCTGTCCCCCCTGCGGGTGCTGACTGCGGGGACAGGGGTGACGTGGCTCGGTGTTGTCATGCAGGTCGCTGACGGCATGCCAGGGAGATGTGGAGGAGCTGCGAAGCAGCAGACAGAAAGGAAACTAACATCTGGTGTATGGCTGAAAAGCAGGGAAAAGCAGTTGGGCGAAGAGTTTCAGTCAAGTGGTTTTTCTCAGACAGAAAAAAAAGCAGCTGTCAAAACATCAAGCTCTTTTGACTCAGAAACAAATGAGGAGGAGAAGGTTATAGAACAGAGATGTGTTAGCCTTTTGAACTGATTTTGTACTCTTGTAAAATAGGAAACCTCAGGTCTCTTATTGAGTGTTTGTATAGTTCAACTACTTCCCCACTGTATGTAGAACAAGCCAGGTGCCTACTGAATGGTTGGGACTGCTGTGCCAGCACTGAGCTGACCAGCAGTGTGATGCCCTATTTTGTTGGCTCTTTCCACCCTTTCAGTGATTTTGAACCTCAATGATCCTAATATCCTTATTTGTTCTAAAAGTAGAAACAAGCCTGAACAGCACACAGCAAACAAGCCATGCACCAACAGTCACTGTGGGCAGTACCTGTGCAGTTATGTTGTCAGGGCACACACACAGTGCCAGATTAGTGCTGCTTGGGGAGAGTAATAGAACTAGAAGAACTAGGGAAGCCAAAAACAAAGAAAACAAAGAGGATCTTTGCTACAAAAAAATTGATTTCATGTCTGGGGTGAAATCTCAACTTAAAACTCCCCTTGGATAGTGCTAAAACTCTTTCTATATCTCTTTCTTCAAATACTGCTTTTGCTTTCTTAGTATAAAGCTGACCTATTGGCCACGGTTAGCCCATATCTGTGCTTGTTCCAGGCAGGATAATTTTCTGTAGACCATTTATAAAACAGTAGTTCATTTTTAAAGAGAAAACAGATAAATGCCACCTTGTTCTGCCCTCATTGCTGGGTACCATGTTTGCATCATCTGTTCCCATGGCAAGTTCTGCAGGGACACCCAGCAACAATCCTGGAGCTGTAGCACCTTCTGCCAAGATCTCGGAAAGGGTAGAGGCAGCAACATGGCTGTTAGTGAACAGAAGTTCCCCACTGTTTATCATCCATTTCTGCAGCTCTGCAGGAGTAACTTGTCAGCTCTGAGGCACTCAATAGTCTTTCAAACTACTGCAGTAAACACACAAGTTCTTTAGGTAACCATTTGCATCACAGCTTGGCCAAAACCTCACTAAAACCTTCAGTCTTGCCTTCTGGCCCCTTGGCACTGGGCTGCCCGCAAACTCCCCAAGAAACTGAGAGATACAAAAGCAACAGAGAAGGTATCCTTCAGGAGAAAGGAGGAAAACAGCTGGAGATGTTAGATGACCTTAAAACACTAATGAGGGTTATGACTAGATCCCCAGGCAGTGGATGCGATGAGCATGTGACAGCTAGGACCAGCCCCAGCCACCCCCAAGTACCTGGTCATTTTGTTGTTCAGGAACATTCAGTGTTCCTTTTGCTAGCACGCCACTGAGTTGCCCTAAATCAAGCACCACAAGTATTTTGAAGACCAGAGGAGACAAAAGACTATTTGTCCCATTTCCCCACTTCCCTGTCTGGATCAGAGATCAGAGTGAAACTGAAGTTTATGTGTAAGCCCAACATGGTCCACCTCCCAATGTCACTGTCCCAGCAGGAGCCCCTGCATGGCACAGCCTTTAGACTTTAGCCCCTCCAAGGCCCAGTACCAGAGGAGGGCTGGGATAACATCGCTGCCTTAAAGAAGTGTTGCAGAAAACATTCAGTATATTTGGCTGTACTTGCAGACAGCCTATTTTCCACCTCAGCAGAGTGGTACTCCTTTCTGACAGCCATTAGTTATTTGCAAATTTAGATGGGCCCTATAAACGTCAGGCTCCTGAGAGAATAAATAATATTTCAGAGCAATAACTTGAAATAAGTCAAACTCAGAATGGTGAGAAGTCTACTAGTAT